CAACATTTAATCATATACCTATTGTTCAGGGATATTAATTGAATATCTGTCACATGCTTATACACACTGTTCTGTAGATGTGGAATTCTTAACTGTCATTTGTCAGACATTTTATTTACCTAGAGAGATTTCTGTTATAGTTATCACTGCTGTCTATATTCCACCTGATGCAAATGTTAGCACAGTGCTCTCTAGGTTACATGATGCCATCGAGAGGCAGCAGCAAATTTACCCTGAGGGTGCTTTTGTCGTGGCTGGGGATTTTAATCAAACCAGTCGAAAGTCTGTTGTCCCTAAGTTTGTGCAGTATGTGCAGTGTACTACGAGAGATAAGAATATTCTAGACCAGTGTTTCTCAACCTTGGCAACTTGAAGATGTCCGGACTTCAACTCCCAGAATTCCCCAGCCAGCATTCGCTGGCTGGGGAATTCTGGGAGTTAAAGTCCGGACATCTTCAAGTTGCCAAGGTTGAGAAACACTGGTCTAGAATATTCTTATCTCTCGTAGTACACTGCACATACTGCACAAACTTAGGGAGATCAGACTGTAGACTGGCTTGATTAAAATCCTCAGCCACGATAAAAACGCCCTCAGGGTAAGTTTGCAGCTGCCTCTCGATGGCATCATGTAACTTAGAGAGCACTGTGCTAACATTTGCATCTGGTGGAATATAGACAGCAGTGATAACTATAACAGAAATCTTTCTAGGGAAATAAAATGGCCGACAAATGACAGTTAAGAATTCCACATCTGCAGAATAGTGTGTATAAGCAACTCTACTGTTAGTACACCAGTTATTATGTGTGTAAATACAAAGTCCTCCACCTTTGCTTTTACCAGAGTTGCTGTTTCCGTCAAAGCGGTATGTGGTGTGGTTAGTTAGCGCCACTGATCCATCTGGTACAAGTGGATGAAGCCAGGTTTCTGTGATGATCATCACACAGCAGTCATGAATGAGTTTATTCGCTGCCATCCATAGCTCTAGTTCATCAGTTTTGGCGGCAAAGGATCTAGAGTTGGTTAGAAAAATGTATGGTAATGCTGGTCTATGGGCTGCTTCTGTAACTGAACTAGCAAACCAGCTCTGCATTCCCCCTTCTACTTTCGCTCTCTTTGCCACCTCCTAAGCCCAACAATGATCCATGGAGAGCCTGACAGTCTTACTATGACACTCGGTATATTATGAGACTGCTGGAAGTCTTTGGTAATATCTAGTCGACTAGAAGATCCAATCTTTAGTAACTCCCTGTGGGTGTAGACTCGTTTTTGCCTAAATCTATTGTGACACCAGGAGCTCAAAGCCACAGTGTCTAAGCACGCTGCCATCTTGGGGAGGGGGGGTATCATATAAAAATCATGCCTGAGTGGAGAAAGCAGATAATTAGAAATTGGGATCATGCAAAATTTGGGAGTGGATGATTCATGAAATGCTACTGCAGGAAGTGAATAAGTAATCTATAGAATTTATTATTGCAAGTTGTAGAGATCAACAATATATTGGAAATTAAAAGCAAACAAACACAAAGGATTGCTGTGCACAAGTCGGGGAGACTGGAGCTATAAATGGCTGGTAATAGTGGTGAAACATTGCATTTAGTTTCAAAAATGATGTATGTTTTAGCACCCGATACTAGAGAACATGAGTGGGAAAGTGCTAATATCCCCATGTCCTACTCATGGTCTTCTCTGGACCCATTGATCATTGATCATTGTAAAAGCCAAGTTTTGGACTAGACAACAGTTTGATGTCTTTAATAGTTTTCAGGGATTTTAGATGACTTTAAATAAAAACAAAAGGAATGGAGTAATAATATACAATGCTACATAGAACTAACTTGTGTTCATACACACTATTATCTTATAATAATTTGAGAGGTAAGAGTTTTATTATTTCCAGATGAGAAGATGCTGATGCTAATAAGATAATGTAGAATGTTTAAGACTATGTTTGAATTCACAGCAAAGACAAGATTTGAAATGAATCTTTCTTGATTTATAGTTCATACTTTTTTGACACTCTGCTTTGTCATCCGTGATACTTCCAGAAAACTTGATAATCTGTATGATTAGAAAAGAGGTTTATGTATCTGCTTAACTATGTTGAAATATTCTGTTTACAGCTCTGGCTGCAATATCAGATTGGAACACTTATTTTTGAAAATATAATTGTTTTGAGTAATTTTTGACAAATTTCACAAAAGTAGTCAAAACAGATCTGCAACTTTCAGCAACAACATTACTCTCCTTTCTCATTAAAATCCATGTAGTTTAGAGTCTACACTAAGGTGACCAGATTTTAACATTGGTAAAGCGAGATACCATTGCTGCCTTCTCCAATAGAACCACCACATTTGCCGCCTGGCGCTGTGGCTGAGGTGAAGCCACCAAAGCTCCCGCTGACAGCCCCACCTGTGGCAGCGCCGCTGCTACCTCCCCCTCCACTCGGAGCACCTGAGCTGGGCACCACATTACCCTTGCCGCTGCCGCCTCCAACAGAACCACCACATTTGCTGCCTGGCGCTGCGGCTGAGGTGAAGCTGCCCAAGCTCCCGTTGGTGCCCCTGCCTGTGGCAGTGGTGCCGCCGCCTCCCCCCCCACTCGGAGCACCTGAGCTGGGCACTGCGTTACCCCTGCCACCGCCGCCTCCTCTTCCACCATGCTTTTGAGAAGCCATGAGGCCTTTTTTTTCCTGCTCCCACCCCCTCCGCCACCTTCCTACTGGCTCCCGTGGCCTCATAGCTCCTCAAAAGCATGGCAGAGGAGGAGGGGGCAGGGGTAATGCGGTGCCCAGCTCAGGTGGTCCAAGCGGAGGGGGAGGCGCTGCTGCCATGGGCGGGGGCGCCGGTGGGAGCTTGGCGACTTCACCTCAGCTGCAGCGTTGGGCAGAAAATGTGGTGCTATTGGAGGAGGAGGAGGAGGTGGCAGAAGTTATTCTAGTGGTGGCGGGGGCTTTGGGGGTTCACTTCAGCCACAGCGCCAGGCGCCAGCGTCTAGGACTGGCCGCCCACAAAGAACCTCCCCGGGCTTGCTTTGCTGAACACGGCACGACTGACAATAATTTGAGCGGGCGCGGCCGGCGCAAACTACCGTCAGTCACCACGCACTCATCAAAACAAGTCCGGGGCGATCCTTTGCAGGGGGCTAGTTCTAGCCGCCTGCAAAGGACCTCCCCAGCTTCTGGAGCCTGTGACAGTAGAAATTACTGCACAGCGGTTGCAAACTGCTGCACGGTGTTTTCTTGCCATGTGTGTGGCCGCCTGAAAAATCGGGACTTTTTAAAAACGCCGCAGGATGCGGGACAAATTGTTAAAAATCGGGACTGTCCCGCCAAAAGCAGGACGTCTGGTCACTATGGTCTACACATATCGGAAAAATAAATTATTTTTAACAAATTTGAATTTACTAATGTAGTCTATTGTCTTTTTAAAAAATTTCCTTATTGGTATATAGATTTTGTTATTCTATCATGAAAATAAATAGACTTAATTTTATTTGCTAAAGGGCAAGTTAAGGGAAGATAATATTGGTTGGATGAGCAGTAATATAATTCTCCATTGGGGGAAAATGGATTATCATCACAAAGCTATTTGTACCATAAATATAATTAATTGTGTAAACTACATAGCTATCAGTTGGTAATTATAGGTAACTGTCAGCTGGTAATTATAGGTAACTGAACAGATCAGAATAATCCTTGATCCTGAATTTAAAGTTGTCAGATTAAAATGTGTAACTGCCATGTTCTGTTTTATTTATTCATTAAATTTATTGGCCTCCTGTCTTATCACAGGGCAATGCTGGGTGGCTATATATAGAATGGGGGCTTCTATAGAATTGGGTTACATGAAAATGTATGAAAGATTTATGGCAACTGGATTATTCTTTGGGAGCCAATGATTTATAGTAGTGATAGTATAACAATTTTGTGGGGGAAAAATAAGGAGGATAACTTTTTGTTCTGCAGGACTCTTAGCTACTCTTGATAGTATTGACCATGATATTCCCCCTAGGCTGTTCCTGTGAGTTGAAGATTGGAGACATTGCATTACAATAGTTCCAATCAAACTGAAACTGTACCTTGGAAGTTGGCTGTGGCCTCCAAAATGCACTTTAACATCTGTCCCAATGCTCTTTAACATCTATATGATGTCCCTAGGGATCATCACCAGAGAGTTTTGGGATGGTTTCTATTTTTGCCGATAATATTTTACCAAGATGAGGTTATTCATATTCTGAAATACTTCGATGCCATAATGAGTTAGATGAAAGTCAATAATCCAGTGCTGAATCCTGAAACACACACACACACATACATACAAACACACACACACAGACACGGTTGAACTATGGGATCCTTGGTGTCTCTGCGTTGGATTGTTTACTTGCAGACATTCCATTATCAAGCTAGGTAACAACATCAGCACCTAGTTAAGTAATGAAACATCAGCAAGCAAACAACTAAGTTCAAACAACACCAAGGACTCCAGAATGATTTTTGTGTTCAGAATAGTGTGGTGATGCTTCAGAAAGCACAGGAAAGTAGTTTGGGAGGCCTCTAGACTTATAGATTTCAGAGGCCCAAGTAATCTTGTGCACAGGAGCATCCATTATCAAAATTAGTTGGAATGCTAATTACATAGTCTCTTATATATAATAACAGCTGTTCTATTATTGAACACACACTGATAGCTTCATTAGTTTAGATAACATTCGATGTGGGGCTTCCTTGTGCTTGCCTAGAAAATGCAGAATGTATGGTAGAATCCAATCAGCATTCTGAGTGGGATATCTCATCATGCACACAATGAGTGTCAATTTATCAAGCCAAGTCCCTGCTTCTGACGCTAAACAAATCAGCACCAGGATATTTAATATCCGGTTACAAATCTGAACAATCACTACGATCATCAGAAGGTCTATGTATTGTGACTGACAATGTCATCTTGTAGTTACAAAAGCAACTGGCAGCTGCACTCTAGAAAGCTCCTTTTCTTCCTCCCCCCAACGCCACCCCAATCTGTGACACCTGTTAATGTGTCTTTTAGATGCCTGTTGAAGACTTAATTCTTCCACTGGGGTTTCTTTGAATGAAAATGTTATGATTAGCTAGTTTTATTTATGTTTTTCCTTTTCTTCTCTTTATTGAGTGGGCTTTCATATTGTATTTTACCATGCAATTTTGATTTTTACTCATAAATAGTTTTAACTTTTGGCAATATAAAAAGCAGTATTAAGTAAACAAATGAATGGTAAACTTTTACTGATTTTTTTTTGCTAGCAACAATATTTTTGAATATTAAACTGAAACAGTGATGTCTGAAAACCACTTCTTCTGCATTTCTAATGTTTGTAATATTTCTTCACTATTGTCTTCCAGATAAAAATAAATAAAGAGCTCAGTAGCCTATACAAGAGAATGTTTGAACCACTCCATGTTCCTCCACAGCTATTCCAAAGATTGACAGGACAGTTCTGCGAAATTCAGACTCTAAAAACAGGTCAAGCATATGCTGCAGAAGATAAAACATCAGTGGATGATCGATTAAGTATTCTACTAAAAGGAAAGTATGTACCTGAAATAACTGGATCTGGATCTCCCTTTTATATAGTTGGACTGTACGAAAAATGCACACTCAATATGAAAGAGATAGGTAAGGCTACCAGATCTGGTCTGCACAAATCCAGACAACCACTAGATGGCAGCAAGGAACTTTCAGTATTGCTTTGCTGCCAATTTGTGCTCATCTGGATTTTTATAGCTCAGGTATGATAGACCTAAAAATAAGCTACTTAGATCGAAAATCTACACACACACACACACACACACACACACACACACACACACAGACACACAAGAGAGAGAGAGAGAGAGAGAGAGAGAGAGAGAGAGAGAGAGAGAGAGAGAGAGAGAGAGA